GACCTGACATGTTCTAAAGACTACTGTTAATATTCTTGTCTAACAGAACAACAATAAAATTGAATTGAATTGAATTGAATGAAATACAATAATCTTACATCAGGTAAAAATTAAATTATAAAACACTGAACATACATGTCAAGAATGTTGGTTAGAAGGGTGAATGGAGAAATGGCTCTTCGCTAGCAAATAAGCTAAAGCACAGCGCCCTCTCCTCCGACGTAGAGCGCACCGGCCGCTAGAGCCGCTATCATAAATAAACTGCTAAATTTAATTACGAACTAATAATCGATTCAGCAGTGTGAAAGATATGCCCAGACTTCGTTAATTTAATTTTGAAGCAGAACCCTTTGACCTTTGACTTGTTTGGCGGCTTCATACAACAAATTGCATATTTCGATTTGTTTGGAGCCTCGATACAAGATTTCTGAAACTAGTTTGAGGCGATTTTTTCATTCTTCATTCGCATAAATTGTATAGCAATGACGCCAATGACTCAATGAGGAGTTTTTTCAACTAATTGATGCATTGTAATATTTTTGTTGTTTTTTACTCTCTTTCTTCATTTTTTGATTTGTACTGTGTTGGCAAATGAGGCGCGTCGCAATGAGTCACTACATCGTGGTGACGCCTCAAAAGTCAATAAAGAATCAATAATAATAATATAATGCAAGTTGTAAAATCCGGTAAAATCTGCGTGAATTTGTTTATAATCTAGTAATATGCATGCGCAATTTTTGTTTATTATATTATTTTTAATTTACCGCCTCGTAGAACTTTATTAATCAAATTGGGTAACTTTTTTCCACTTGCTTCAAAAAAGAATGGTTAAGTTGCTAAAAATTGCAAATGTTTTTTCTCGCCAAAAGATTTCACGTTTTGTATAAGAAAGACGAGCTGCGACTGAATAGGTGCAGTGAGTTTGCAAATTTCCGCGCGCGGGAAAAGAAAAGTGCGTGTACGCACTTGCGACTGGAGCAGGGCTGATGCGCGCTGTCACTCTGGCGGGCAATAAATCATGTCAGAGTACCTCCTGCAACATTCATCTCTCCTAACCCGCGTGCGTCGTCCCAAGACTTGACTGACATTTGATCTGTTCTCCCTCACACATTGATCCGCCCGCTTCCCCGTTCGCCACCGCAGCCTCCCCCGACCGGATAGGCCACCCGAAATGCGTGGGCTTTCTGCGTAGAGCATTATTTTAGCACGCGCGCCGGTCCAAAAGCGCCAGCATCCAGCGCCGGCTATGGACCGCGAGATTTTTTACCCCAAGTGCACATATAATTTTCAGTTTTTTGTCTTTACTCACAATCAGCGTATGTACTTTTAAATTATTGCTGCGTTTGCCTTTCGCAAGTGCAAGTTCAAGATTACTGTGACATTGACGGTATTCTTCACTTCCATGTTATTATTTCATCACTCATCACTTGTTTTTAATTGGATTGGCAATGGCATTGGTTGGTTGAAAGAAACTTCTGAAGCTCCTCAATTTCGTTTAATCGTTTAATATAAATACTTCCTGAGCCTCAATTCAAATAGCTGGCTTAAATGTCACGCTCCCATGAAAATCAACTCCGCATATTATACCATATGAATTTTTAATAACTTCATCAAGCTTTCATTGATTTCAAATTAGTAGAATGAATAATGCCTTTTTAATTTTCCTGTTCTGACAAACGAGGGTCACCTGCTACGGCATTTTTATTAAATCTTGCACCTCGTTTGCATTGAAATAAAAAATAAGTAGACCCTATAATTTTCTCTTTGCGTGCACCACAAAATTCAAGGCTCATCTTTTCAAGTCTGTTTTTTCCACAAATAATCTGTTATCTTAGAGAGACGGGAGTGTGCGTATTCAATTACTTATTTACAAGCGTAAAATCAGCCGCCGAAAATGAGGAAAGCATCACTTGATCGTTTTTTTACGAATCAGGGATTTCGCTTTTGACCCTGCAACCTTGGTGCCGAGCTAAATGTCAGCCCGCGCCTTCAGCGACTGGTTTTTATTACGCGATTGGAAGCATGTGCATACATAATGCTTTTAAAAATTCTTTTATAATATCATTGTTGTTTATTTTTCCACATTAGTACACTACATTGTTTACATTTCGTTGCAATTAAATTAAAATTATTTTTTATAATTTGATTAAAAATATTTTCAAAAAACCTGCATAAATTAAATAATTTATATTAATTCTTGTTAAACCATTCAGATTTATTCTATGCATCTAAACTTTAGATAAAATTCAATAATGCATGCTATAAGTAAGTTAATAGTTGATTTCTCATTGTTGTTGGTTGATATTTATTCTAATAAAATATATAAAACTTAATCTGCAATATTATATTGTGATTAATCAAATCAATAAATTTATTTGTTTGTTTGTAATGTAGCTTTTATGAATTATGGCGAAAGGACCTCTCTTAAAATAAAGTTCCTAAAACCGGCAATCATATGAATGAGAAGGCACGTATCTGATGATTAATTCGTTGAAGGCAATTTGTGTCATCAAATAGCCTGTGGTAGCGACTCGCAATTGGGTAATCGCCCTTTATAGTTATTTCCTAACACGCAGAGTCAAAATGCGCAAACAACAGCACGCGAATCGACGCCGCGCATTAGGAAAACAAAAATGTTAAATCTCTTTTTGCTTCAGATCGTTGTCAGCCGGTAGATGGACATTAGAAAGTTTTCCATTTCACAGAGGATCCATCCACCTTGATGTATTCACGCTATAGTTTTACACACAAACGCCGAAGCTACTTATTGACACGGCAGGGCCGCCTTTTGACCTTTTTACCTGCAGCTATTATCTTGGTTGCTCCACTGCTCAGGTGCTCTCAGGTTAAATTTTTCAATAGAGGGCGTTTCTCGGCATATATAAAAAAAGACTTACTTTAAATATGTGCGCAGAATAATGCAAATAAAAATAAATCACATAAACTAGAAAATTTCTTATCGAGTAAATACTAAATTAAGATAATTGATTATTGATTGAATTAAAAATTTTATTTTGATGTCGCAGTTTTAAAAATAAATATTTCAATGTATTGGCGAATATTATTATATTCTTTGAAGTCTCACAGTGACGTTTATAAAATTTAAATTATTTAATATTTGTAGCGAGATTTATATTTTGTTAAATATCTATTTGTTCATTTAGAACTGAAAAATTTAAAGTAATAAAAATAACATAAAATTAAAAAACACAAGAAATAATAAAAAAAAATTGTTAATAATGATAAAAATAATTTACACAATATCATTCTTATAAATTTTTAAATTACTTAGAAAAACGTATTTCTTTTAAATTGTAAAATGTATTTTTTTTCTTTTTAAATAAATATACCATGTCTAAGTATGAACTTAAAAACCTTTCACATGTTTCAGTTTTAAGTTTTAAAGGCTGTTTTCACCACAATACTTATTAGTCTCCAGCCAGTCTCTATTTCAAAGAGTTTTGCTTAATTGGAGCTCAGAAGTAGGGTAAAAAAATTGAGCGGGAGCGCCAAGTGCCAAACAGCCCACCGCACCAAGCGGAGCGAAATGCGCGAAACAACCCCTATTGGCGTGTTTACATTTGCCCATGGAGTCAAAACACACACGTACATTTGCCCATGCACAAACACAGAGGGCCGCACCTCTTGCTAAAGCATGCCACCCCGTTACAGTTGTTTTTGTGGAAGATTTCGAAAAGGATTTTCCAGCGAAAAGAAACGCAGCAAACAAACAAGGGGGCGGCTGGGGCGGCAGATTTTCCACATTTCCGTAAACAAAATTAATCTTGCCGGCAATAACTTATTGCCAAATTGCACAAGATTATCTATTGAGAGGCCGTGGCGGCGGCAAATCGAGGCGGCGCCGAGCCCGAGTGGCGCAGGCGCCCCCGCCGACGCAACCCGCCGCACCCCGCGACCCTCCCTGCTGGAAAAACAACCCCCGGCTGGAACGACCCTCTATCGCAGCATGTAATACTGGTATTTGCAACCCGCCCAAAACACCGTGTCATCGGCAACCGTGCGAAGAAAAGGCAACATCGGCGTTTTCCTCTCAAAATCCAACAACCCGATTTTTCGGAAAAAGGGCATTTTCAGCGTTAATCGTTGCGGCTTCAGAATTTTAAATATTATTTTTCCCCAAATCCTTGTTATAAAAATCTTTCTTGCTTCGGTGTGCATCTGAAATCAATTATGCCCTCGTTCATAGAAAAATGTGCACCTGCCTATACTCAAAATATTAATTATGTAACGCGGGGTGCGATACATTGCGCCGGTTGTCTCCTCACTCGGGATTTTGCAGCTTGGATCGATAGAACTGTCAGTACGCAGGCGTTCTCCGAGTATTTATTTTATATTCATATGTGTTTGTGTGTTTAGTAATATCACATAACAAAGAGATAGATTGAATCAGATTGAATAATATTAAGAAATGTGATGAACTGAAATAATTAATTGCATTAAATTTTAAAATTTTAATAATTTCAAATTTTTTTCTTATGCATGCATAATATTAATTAAATACTTTTAATCAAACTAGTAGCAGCCTCTATTGGCTTCAATATCTTACAAAAAAAAAATACTTTCCTCCGCTTTGATTCTGCGAGTTGGCTAATTCATTTTCACAATGCTCTTTTTTTTTTAAATATCGTGCACTTTAAATGAAGCGCAGAAAACATGATCATTAGTTAATTTGATTGAACTGCATTTAAAAAAAAAAAAAAATTAAGATATTGAGAATTATTGATTTATTAAATAAAATGAGAAACTGAAAACACAATTTGTTTTCTCTATCTGATTTTTAGACGCACAAGTAAATTGCAATACAATTGGCACATCAACTGATAATAGAATTATATTTAAACATTAAACCCCTGCTTTTCTGATGTTGATAATGCAAAACAAGTCACGTCGGTCTGGCGCTCATCTTTGAAATTCAAAGCTGTAATATTTTTTTCTTTATTTGTAATTCCTCTGTCTCTCACAGATGGCGCGCGACAATCAAATTTCACAAAACGAGGTAAACGAAAAGCGGAACGTAAACGTAAACAAGACGGCATGGACGGTGAAGTGGACACTCGGCGGATCCTCACCCGTCTGAAATCGGACACAGGCCAGGCGTTCGAACGGTTGTTCGACCTGCCGTACGATGTCACGCCGGACAAGCTCACCCTCTTGACCAACCATCTCTTGGAAAATGTATAAAACTTAACAATTTCCCTTAATACTTTTAAAGTTAATCCGCGTGCTCAATTTGTTCATGTTTATAGGAAGATCCGGCTCCGTATTTGTTTTTCGTAAATGAAAAGGAAATCACATCGAGCCTGGACAAGGTTCTGGTCAAGGATGACATCGGGACGGAAAATGTGCTTGAAATCATTTACCAGCAGCAGGCAGTCTTCAAAGTTAGGGCAGTCACAAGATGCACAAGGTATTTTTTTTATTTCATCTAAAAATAAGTTAAATGTAAATTGAAATTGAAACATATTTTGATTAAAATTTTCCTTCCAGTTCCATGCCGGGTCATGCCGAGGCAGTCATTTCTGTGAGCTTTAGTCCCGATGGTCTTTACCTAGCAAGTGGTTCGGGGGACACGACTGTCAGGTTTTGGGACGTGAATACTCAGACGCCCCACTTCACCTGTGAAGGCCACAAAAACTGGGTTCTTTGCATTGCGTGGGCCCCAAATTCCAGAAAATTGGCGTCCGCCTGCAAAAATGGCACTATCATGCTCTGGGATCCCAACACTGGCAAGCAGATTGGAAAGCCCTTGATGGGACACAAGCAGTGGGTCACATCACTGTCCTGGGAACCTCTTCACATGTAATTTTACATTGTTAAAATTTTTGTAAATAATTTAATTTTTTTTAAATAGCGATGGGAGCTGTCGACGCTTGGCAAGTGCGTCGAAAGACGGAGATGTCAGGATTTGGGACACGGTGATGGGCAATGTCCAAAGAATACTCACCAGCCACACAATGAGCATCACCTGTGTCAAATGGGGAGGCAGCGGCCTCATTTACACCTCATCTCAAGATCGCACCATTAAAGTTTGGAGACCTGATGATGTAAATAAATTCTCCCTCTTGTTGCGAAAATACAGCTTTAAATTTTCAGGGTGTTATGTGCAGGACACTAGAAGGGCATGCCCACTGGGTCAATTCCATTGCCCTAAATACAGATTACGTAATTCGAACGGGCGCTGTTGACCCAACAGCTGTCCACAGAGGAAAGGGACAGACAGTTAATGGTAAATTTCAAATATTTTTCATATTATATTCTCTTTACACATGATCTTTTTTTCGTAGATTCCAATGTGCAAGAGTTGGCTCGGAAAAGGTATAGTGCTGTTTGCAGTCCTGGTGAGGAGAGATTGGTTTCCGCCTCGGACGATTTCACTCTGTACATGTGGTTGCCCGAGAAGGAAAAGAAACCCATGGGTATGATTTTGCCTGGTTAATTTGGAAATTTTTAATTTAAAATCCTACATTGTAGCCCGTCTGACTGGCCACCAGCAGTTGGTGAATGACGTAAAATTTTCACCTGATACAAGATTAGTTGCTTCAGCCTCCTTTGACAAATCAATCAGGCTTTGGGATGGAAAGACCGGAAAGTAAGTTTGAATAATTTTTAAATTAAATCTCACACTGACGAAACACTTTTCTAGGTTCATTACAACTTTACGAGGCCATGTCCAAGCTGTGTACATGGTAGCTTGGTCTGCCGACTCGAGGCTGCTTGTGAGTGGAAGTGCAGATTCTACATTGAAAGGTATTATTTTGATAGAGTTGTTTTGATTTTATAACTGATTTTATTTTGCAGTTTGGAGTGTGAAGAACAAAAAATTAGAACTGGATCTTCCTGGGCATGCTGATGAAGTTTACGCTGTTGACTGGTCTCCTGATGGACTAAGAGTTGCCAGCGGTGGAAAGGATAAAGTTTTAAAAATGTAAGTCAACCTCCTTTGCTGAGTCCTTTTGTTATAAATTTTTAACTAAAAATTCATTTTTATATTGCAGGTGGCAACATTAAAATTCAATAAGATTTAAATTACAAATTATTATTTTTATGATTAATACCAAAATCTTTTTTCAAGTGGCACAAAAGGACAAAAGACGTTTAGGGATACTGCAAAAAAAATTGGCTTAAAATGTTTTTATTATTATGAAACTATAATGTTTTTTTTTTTAAATTTTTTTTTATCTCTTTAAAATCCTTCGATGAGGATTATTGCTTAATCATATTTCATGGTACAAGTGCCTTTGCATAATGAGTTATCCGCCATGATTATGCAAATTTTTCACCAGGAAAAACACAAGTGCTGGTGTCTGGATTGATTCAACTCGATATCTTTCATGATAGACGACAGTGTCTTTTTGTAATAATTTTCAATTTGAAAAGATAAGAGTTTTTTGCGACATGTCAAAGAGTCCTTTGTGATAAGGAAGAACATTTAAGTCCTTCCTGGGTGTGATCCTGTTTATTATTGTGCGAGACGTGAAAGGTTAAGTAACGAGAGCAATCATGAGGTCTAATCCGTGAGTGATAAAACATGAATTCTATGTATTTATTATACTTTAACTATTCTGCATGATAAGTAAGGAATATACATATTGTTTGCTTTCAATGTTTACAGTTGCTTTTCCGCCTGCTTAATTTCTCTACAAACATTCGTGATTCAATTTTCACTACCTTGGTTGTTTTGTGTGCAGATAAAGTTACCCACCACTTTTGATATAAGTAACTCTGACCTCATTCCTTCCATGTAGCTCCAACGTTGAGCACTTGCCTAGATAAAAATTTAAAATTTAGCGTTTTCTCTGAAATCTTCAATAACACTTTAAAATGGTCCAAGGTGACTATGATTTGAAATGCATGAATTACAGAATGAGGTAAATTGATTTGCACTAATTAACTTGCTTATTTTCAGTAGTATCTTAAAATATTTTTCTTCTTTAAGAGTTTAATATTCCTTATCAAACACATAAATCCATTATTAATTTCTATTGTCTCATTACTTTTTGCTTAATAGTAATTATTATATGAATGATTAATATCTGTTACACTTATCTCATAAATCATTAGCTTGACATTATCAGTAAGTTAAAATAATTTTAACCCTGCTCTAACCGCTTTGTACTCAGTGAATGGAATAACAGCTCTTGAAGTTTGGAACTTGCATGTACCTGTCTAGCCTTCAAAATTCTTTATCTGATTAAATAACATCGCCGCGGCTAATAAAATATTGAAATTGAATACAAAATTTCAGAGGAAATTTGTGGAAACCTTTAGGTATTGCCGGGGTGATAGTGATGATGAGTCTATTTGCTGGCGTTGGAGTCGGAATTTACGTTGGACTGCAACCGCATGAAGTGCTAGACCCGCCAAATCCGACTGAGCCGTGGCCACCGTCGAGCTCACCCCTTGGGGTTTATTATGACGGTGCCGTGGCAGCAAATTGCTACCCTTGCAATCTTGTTGGCAGGTAAATTAGAAAATGTATGTAAAGAATTTAATTCAAACGTTTTTAAATGTAAAGGGACGTTCTTTTGGAAGGCGGAAATGCCATTGATGCTGCCATTGCCACCCTCTTTTGTGATGGTGTCTGCTCAGTTCAAAGTATGGGCGTTGGAGGTGGATTTTTGATGACAATCTATAATAGAACAACTGGACAGACCTTTGCTCTCAATGCCCGAGAGACTGCACCCGGTGCCGCAACCGAAGACATGTTTCATGGAAACTCAACCTTGTCTACATATGGTTTAAATTTTGAAACCATTTTTATCGTCAAAATTATTTGATAAATTCAAAAAGGTGGTTTGGCTGCTGGCGTTCCCGGAGAGATCAAAGGTTACTGGGAGGCACACACGCGCTTCGGAGTTCTTCCGTGGTCAAGACTTATCCAGCCTACCATTGACCTGTGCGTGGAGGGAATCACGATTGGAAATTATGTTGGTGAAAAAATTCAGGAAAAAGCTACACAGATTTTGAATACGCCATCAATGAGGTTTTTAAAATCAACTAATAATGTACCTTGCAGATTATAAACAAAAAATGCTTTGCAGAGAAATTTTTACTGATGCAAATGGAACTCTGCTTCAAGCAGGAGACAAAATGTATAGGCTCAAACTTGCTGAAACTCTTCGAACGATTGCTGTTGAAGGTGGGGATGCTCTTTACACAGGCTCTCTGGTAGAACCCTTTGTTAATGACGTTCAAAGCCTCGGAGGAATCATCACCGCACAGGATATGGCTAATTACAAGTACTTAATTAAATACTAATTTAATTACTTTTTTAAGTCAATCAATATGTCTTACTCTAATATTTTTTAAATTATAGTGTTCGTTGGCAAGAAACAGTGAAAGCTGAGCTCAGTGGAGGACTCACTGCCCACTCTCTGAATGCTCCTGCAGGAGGACCTGTGGCTCTGTTTATTTTGAATGTTTTGGATGGCTTTATTCCTGCTGCTGATGAAATTACCACGCTACAAAGGGTGACAGAAACTTTAAAGTACGCTTACGGTTTACGAACACGTCTTGGCGACCCTGACTTTGTGGACATCCAAGAGGTAAGTGTAAAATTTGATGAAATGCAAAATTTTTTTCTAATTAAATTCTTCACTTTGTTAAGTAGCTCTTGACCAATTTAACTTCAAAAGACTACGCCAGTTATATAAGGAGTCGCATTGAAGATGACGTGACTTACAGTGACCCTGAACACTACTTTGCACGAACTCTCACCTCAGAAAACCACGGAACTGCACACGTCTCAATTGTCGACAAGGATGGTTCATCAGTTTCTGTCACAAGCACTGTCAACACAATGTGAGTGAAGTTGTATTTTGATATTTTCAGGCTAACAACATGATAATTTAGTTTAGGAGCATTAGTTCGATCTGTGAACACAGGAATCATTCTGAACAGTCAAATGGACGATTTCTCTGCACCAAACATCACCAACGCCTGGGGAGTGCCGCCCTCGCCAGAAAACTTCATAGCTCCTGGCAAAGTACCATTATCGTCAATGTGTCCCTTGATAATCACGGACGCCAATGGCGACGTCGTCTTGTCTGTTGGTGCATCAGGGGGAACAAAAATTTCTTCTACTGTACCTCAGGTTTGTATTTCATAGTTTTAAATCATGAACATAAAAATTTTTTAATGCTGTCGATAGGTTGCTATGAGGTATCTTTGGTTTAATCAAACAATCAAAGAGGCTATTGATGCCCCTCGAATTCATCATCCTATCTTTCCTATGGAACTTAATTACGAGTACGGAAATCTTGAAGTGAGAATAACTTTATCCCAGGTTAAATTTGGTTCTATCAGAGCTTTTTTTAGCAAATTGTACAAGGAATGGAATCAATCGGACACGTCACAAGTAGATATACGGGTGGATCTGCTTCAAATGGAATTGCCAGGAGTGGCCAGTTCTTGACTGCCAACGCAGATCATCGACGAGAAGCTGTCGTTGCTGGCTATTAGTCAAATCCTGTTCGATGAAACGCTTAAGTTATCATATGTTTTCTTCTGCAATTTGAGCCCATTTCCTGTCATTGGGTTATCATGAATATTTTTCTACCGGAAATCGCAATGATGATAGATTAGTCCATGTCCACGGTTATCAAAGTATAATGCATCGCATTAACAATTTATTTATTTTGGCATACAAATTGATGACTTGCCAAAACCTTTATTATATTTTTTTATTGAAAAATTTGATTAATTTATGAGATGAATAAAGTGAAAATGGTATGCATTGGAAATATAAATTTATGCGTTTTTTTCTTTGTGTCCTCTTCTCTCTTAATTATTATTATTGAAATGCAAGCAAGAGAATTTAAAAAAATGTACTTTCTCAATGTTCACAAAATATTGACCACTACTTTGTAAATTATTGGCATTTTTTAATTCATTTTTTATGACTCAAAAAAAAAAAGTGCGAAGTGACTCAAATTAAAATACAATTGCTTCCGTGTGGAAGCCTGACGACATAGAACTCTTTAGAGGCTTATGTGATTTTCGCGCCACGATAGTTCCATATTTGCTCGTAATGGCGCTTTGGTGTTCGTGGTTGCTAGTGCCATCTGCCGGACTCTTGCGTTTTTGCGCGAGTAGAAAATTCTGTGATTTTGAAATGCAGCTGGCTTGCGAGAGCTCGTTCTGACAGAAACACACCCCCCGGTAAACAACCCTTGGCGCGACTGGTTTTCAAGGTCGCTCGGCCATTGTTGCGTCGCAAGGTGAGAAGTCGTTCTCGAACCTGCCGAAGTCGACGCGTTTCGCCGCACCTTGCCTGCATCTCCCGTGATGGAGCCAGCGTTGTCGATCCGCAGGACCGAATGAGTGTTAGAAACGTCAAGTGCAGCGTTTGCATCGAGGGAAACACCACAAAGGTGAGCTCCCGCCATAATTCTCACGTGCATGCCCTTTTTGTTGTTGTTATGATTCGTCGGCGCGCCGACGATTTCGAAGAGAAACTAGCCATTTTCTCCCTTTTCTGAAACGAACCTACTTTTACTGTGGCATGAATTTTAAGAAGGATGCAATCTGAAGGCCGCGAACATTACAGATCGCATGAATGATCATTTCTTCGGTTGATCAAACAGGTCGCAAGATCAAATATTTGATTGGAAATTAGCGGAGTGTCATTTCGTGAAAGGGGCTTAAAAAAAGAGGGTCTCGAGGACAAGGACAGTAAAATGTCGTAGCCTAAATGCTCAATGAAAAAATTCGCAAAAATTAATCAGGAAAACCCCAAACAAAACATGTGTGCTCTCGCTGCTGAATTCCTCTGCAGCCCAAAGTCACCAGTCAGAGACCCTTTCTCTCCTGAGCTTGCAATTCACAGCTTCAAGATAATGATTAAGAATTTCATACTTAAGTTTGCAATTTTTGCTCAGGGTGAATGGGTTTGTTCATTATTTCATCGGAATCATTGGTTTTCTAACTCAGCATAAATTATAGCGCAAAAGATCACAATTCTAGATGAATTTTAAATTTTTGCAAGGAAATGAAATAGGTCAAAATTGCCGAGATGAAATTAAATAAAAGATTTATTTTACTTAATAGGAATGTGTCGAAAGATAAAATTTCCAATAAGATTTTCTAACCCAACCTGAAATTTCTGGAAAATCATTAAATTTGGGGTGCAGGGTGCAATTACTAGCGATTTTTCCACTCCAAAAGCAGTCTATTTTGTTTTTACAATGGCGTTCATAGATGGTTTTTTATTCACCCTCACAGAGGTTTCGATGCTTGAGTCAATCTTTGAAAAAAAAGTGGGGTGACGTGCGACTATGAAATCATTTTAGTTGTGACCAATTTGGTGGACAAATAGAGGAGAGTAGTAAAAAATAATTATTCAGCACATGATTGACATTAAATTTTTTTTTAAATGCTGGTTCTTCTGGATTTTCGGATGCTGATTCTTGTGAGAAAGGCAAGGAGTGAATTTGCAGAAAGCTTGTTGCAAACAAAATAGTAACAATCAATTTGGCTTGACTTGTGAAACTTTATAGGGCGCCATTGCACTATTTAAATAAAAATAGTCAGTTGCGATCAAGACAATACATGGCAAACTTAACATAATCAAATTTTGTATTTAATTAATCCGAGACAAATCATCGCTTAAAATACTTTTTATGTTCAGATGGTGTAGAGCAACTACTGCCGCATTTTGCATGTAAAGCAAAACCAGTTATGACTTTAAATTATATTTTATCAAACAAGTGAGTGAAGTTGCCAATAAAAGCTGATTTTTTCTTTATTTTGCTGTACCAAAGAAGTAAAAAAAAAAATGACCTTTCCGCTTCTGAAGCCACTGGCATCAATGAAATGTAGTTCATAATGACCTAAAAATCGCGAGAACCGGTTTTACTTTAATAATACGTTCATCAAGTACCAAAGACTAAAATCAAACCCGTTGTGTTTGGTTTAGAAACGGCTGTACAAACTCTAAGTGACAGCTGTGAAGCTAAAACATTATATTTCATTTAAGATAATTTTTGTAAAAAATATTATTCATTTTTATTGCCGCCCATTTCAGTGTGGGTCTTTAAATTCTGTGACTTGCTCACCACGGAGGATCTTCCTCAACAATGACTTGATTTGTTTGGAGAAAAAAAAAGTTATTACAATGTTCTGCTTTATGTATGTTCCAATGAACCACATTAAAAAATTTTAGATTGCAACTTTATATTTCCGTTGCGTCAAGTAAAATTTATTTTGCCTTCGGTATTTTTTTCATTCCAACAAACGCAACAAATTCTCACGTGACTCGTCACTTTGCTGATTATTCAAAGACCATAAATGCGAATTTGACGAATTAATAAATTTTTCCTTGCATGCGTTTGCGCTTGTAATGCAATTTGAATTTCAATTGAATTGAAAAAATATACAAATTTTAAAGTGACGTTTGGCAATGTGGTTAAAAATTTCAGCAGGAGATTTAGCGTGAAAACCGTTTCATCATGATCAAACATAGAAGCAAAATTACAGTCTGCAAGGACAAAAATTTTAAAATTATATTCATCCCTGAAATAATTTATTTGAATTGCAATTGAATTTATTTGAATAAGCAAAATGTTTAAAAAAAAATCCTATCACTTTAATAATTAAATTTTCTAAGATTTAAAATTAATAAAGTTGGAAAAAGAGCTGTGAAAATCTTCCAACGACTTTTAATTATAAGACAGCGCAGGATTTTCTATCATGCTTTGCTAATCAATGCTCACCCCCTTCTCACGCAGCATATTATTGTGAGGGGTAATAATTGTCAAATTATGTGCCACGCGTTGGTCCTGTATTAACAATAAGCCTGCTAGACGCTCCCCATGTGATAAATGTGAAGTTCAGTGACAATGGTTAACTCCTTCATAGCATATAATTTCTTTCACTTTTAAAAAATTGTTTCCGCAGCCCTTAAATAATTAATTTATTAGGTAAGGCTTTATGATAATTACAAGATAAATAATTTGTTTAATTTTTTTTTTACTTCTTATAATTCATTTTTTTATAATGAAGTATTGGAAAGAAGTTACAAGTCCAGCCAACTCCAAGCGGAGTTATCGGCCCGTGCTTATGTGACTGGAAAGCAAGACTTAAAAGCCAAACAATCCAGTTCTATACAAATTGTTTAACAAAGATTTAGAAAAAAATATTTCTTCAAATGTTCTTGAATTGTCTTGGTGATTCTGGATTATGAGTATTTTTTTTTTTTTACTTAACAGGAAAACAAAATTTGTTTTGCTTAAAATTATTTCTTGCCTTATTTAATCGTGAAGTCCAACAAAAGATCAAACAACACAGGAGGGCAAAAAACCGGATAAGTGCAAGACTTGTTTCTTTAGGATAATCAAGAGTGTTAAATTGGTTTGTTTATTTGAGTCACCTAGCAACTGACAAAAAGGGTCGAGTGCAACTGCAAGTGGATTAATTAACTGCAAGGAATATGCATCTGATAAAAAAAGGGTGGCTCAAGATAATCTCCCTCTTTTTTGCTGGATCAAAATTTGAAATTTGATCCAGTCAGTCCACCTGCAGTTGCACTAAGTCGCCTTCTTTTGAATGTGGCCGACCCCTTGGTTGCCAGTGGTTTTGAAACTCACAACAGACTGATTTCTTATACAATTTTTTTTTTCTACAGGAACAAGCTAAATATTTCCTCACTCTTTCCTGCATCATTTTGACTCTTTTCTCTTTGGCGCTCTTTCTTCTTTCACTGTTAAACTATCATTTATTAAATGTTTGGTGAAGGTTATTGAATTAAGAAAAAATTTAAGTGTTTTTAATTAAAACGCCTTTGGCCATTGTTTATGTAATTGCGATCAATTACTTTTATTAATCATTTCTTAATTTGTAAAAATTATGCATGCCTTTTAATACTCTTTTGAGTAACTTTTTTTGATTGATAAATAAACAAGAGAACAAAATGTAAGGTTTCAATGACGCATGCAATTCTTTCTTTGGTGACAGGCAAGTGGAAAAATACCATCAAGTTCGCGACTAAAGAGTGGCAGAATGTGGTACGCATACAAATGTGAATTAACGAGCTAAATAAAATCGCAAAGCGCGACATAATTGGAATAAAAATGCGCGAAGGGAGGGAACTTGACACTTTGTATGTGAAACTAACTTATAAATAACTAACGGAGTAAATGTCTTGAAGTGGAAGAAGGCATAAAAAATGAACTGTCTGCACCGCGCCGGCTGATTGACGGCAGTAACATGCGGGTCGATAATTTTTATTTGGAACTGTGGCCAGTGATGAAATAAAATAAGATTAAACTAAATAATGTTTTAAGTATGAAGTCCATGCATGAAATTTGTCATGTAGGCATTTTTGTGCAATTCTCATATAAAGCTGCAGAACAATTTTTTTGCGAAATATCTGTGCGAGCAATGATTTAATTCTGTATAGACCAATTGGATCACAAAACCAATACTTCCTGATTATGCCATTGGGATCGTCCAATACTCTCTTATCATGCTACTTAAGCTTTTTATGCTTTTGGTCACTTTTGGCAAAATCGCTCCAAACTGCTTTTCAACGAACTAGGTGTAATCAAGATGATATGCAAAAAACTTAAAGGAAAGCACAAAATTCTTTTCACTAAAAGAATTCACCTCTGCGCAATCTTGTTCATATAATTTGTAGAAATGTTTATCATAAATGATAAATAAATAACTGTAGGTCTAAAAAATAATTTCCTTGCAAAAAAATTTTATAATATGCATTAATTTTTTTTAGACGAAGAATTAAAAGTAAATT